TGCGTTCGGGGAGTGCGCTATTAGCACTATCACATCATTTCATCTTTATTGCTATATGTAAATTAAGGATAGAATGATGTGATAGTTCTAATAGGACGTTCCCCGAACGCCTAAAAGAGCAAAAGGATAGAGGACATACTCAACTAGGGTTGCCATCCGTCCTCTTTTTCCCGGACACTGTCCTCTTTTTTAGGGCGTCCGGGGACGTCCGGGGGGATTTTTTGAAAGCGTCCGGAGTTTCAAGAAATCTTCTAAATATTTTGTTTTGATTCCTCTCGCATTACTCTGCGTTACCAAATAGCATAGATATCACATAAAAGAGTTAAAATTTTTTAATTTTAATACCTAATAAAACTTAAACTAAATCTATAATAAAATTTTTATTTTAAATCAAAATAGTCTGTATTTATTTAGTATTCAGTTCAAATTTCTTTTTGCTCTGAATGCTAATAAACAATTAAATGTGAAATAATGATTCATTTACTGTTCTAATCAATTTTATTAATTTAAGCGCATTTTTGCTTAGGGTTGCAACCGAAATGTCCAAGGTTTTGGCTTGAAAGTCCTAGTTTTGAAAATTTTAATAGGGTGGCAACTCTATATTCAACTGATTTTGAGAAAAATTGGTTTAAAGTTTATAATGTTTCTTATATACCGGCTGCGTTAATCCCATTATTGCCAAGATCGGGTAGATCGGACGCTCGGCCCTGTACTACCAATATGTCAACCCGGGTTCGATTTCTGCCTATTATATTTTTTTTAACCTAGAAAATATTTATTATATTATTATGTTAAATATGTATTATATTATTACATATATATATATATATATATATATATTCCCTTGTGAGCCAATAAAGTTGCGGTTTGACCGTTGAGTGGATAGGACGTCTTTTGTCGCCACATGAATTTTTGTGTTGCATCATGCAAATTTTTAAGAATAAAGAGAATGTTAAACGTGGACAAAGAGAAAATTAAACTAGTATAGAATATAGACAAATTTATAAAGAGTATAAGCAAGGAAAAAGGGGGAAAAATAAGAAGGGGAGATAGAGGACCTGTGTTATGTAACCCTTTGAAAGTTGAAGACACGTCAGGGCTATACCTGGCACTCGCCATCCAGAGAGAACTTTAAAAATCAAAACTGAGCCAATAAAAGCAGAATTAGAAAAAAAAGAATGCTTGAAAGCATTTGTAATATCAAGCGGATTTCGAGTTTCTATGTGTTTATACTAATTAATAAAATATTTAAGCTTGATATTTAATTCTTTCTTTCCTTTTTTTGGTTTCTTTCAGCCATTATAGGGGGTGGCATTGGTGGTGCATCTACTTTACATTTCCTTTCCGAGTTACTGAATGGAAATTTGGAAATCGATTTGTATGAGGCAAAGACTGTCGGAGGACGATTGGCAACCATCAAAATTGATGGAGATGAATTTGAGGCTGGTGGTTCAGTTATACATCCTAAGAATATGTATATGCAAAGATTCGTCAAACTTTTGGGTAAGCATGTATGAGTTTTTTATTCTTTTATTTCAATTATTACTTTCATATATGAATGAACATTAATGAAGATTTTTTGATTCTTAGGTTTAGAACACAATTTTTTTGATAATCAGAAATACGGCATATGGAATGGAGATGAATTTGTTTTCACAGAGAGTAATTGGTCTATAATTTCGCTGCTGAAGCTGTTTTATAGATATGGTTTTCAGCCATATAAACTCAACAGGTATTTAAAAATCATAATAAAATACAGAAAAGGAAAAGTAAGATCTTATTTTTTTTTAACAGATATGTAGAAAACATGATGGAAGATTTTCTGAAGATATATGATCTGCAGGATGCTGGGCGATCTTTTGCCAATGTCACTGAACTGCTATCGGCTATGAATAAGGATTTCCCGAATTTATTACAGATATCTATAAGAGATAAACTTTTACATGTGGGGTTTACAGAAAGATTAATCAATGAACTAGAACAAGCTAGTATTGTAGGAAATTTTGGTCAGGAAGTTGATGTACATAGTTTCCTTGGTTTCATATCCTGGGCTGCGAGCAGTGATGCATGGGCTGTCAAAGGTGGAAACAAAAGAGTAATGTATCATTAACATATATCTTCATTATTAATAAAATAATGAAGTAAAAGCTTAAAGTAAAAGACTGAATTTTAGGTACCAGAGGATCTTATTTACAGAACTAAGAATGTAAATGTAATGCGGAATCGTGTTACAAAGATTCGCAATTTAGCAAACATCAATGATTCGAGCCGATACGAAGTGACTTATACAAATAAAGGTAGGATAAGCAAATGTAAATTTTAACTGATAAACATTTGAATTGTGTGTTAAGTGTATGAGCTATGTATTACAGATGGCACAGATTCAATAACATCGAATTATGATATCGTAATTATCGCCACACCGCTTACAAAGGACCAAGCGTCTCAGATAGAATTTGTTGGATTTCCGGATGACTTGGTATTTCCAGGAAGTTTTCAAACGACACACGTGACATTTATCAAAGCTAATCTCAATCTAAAGCATTTTGGCTTGCAAGAGACTTTGGATAGTATTCTAAGTTGCAATCCCAACAAAACGAATATCAATATGGTTTTGGCATTGGAGTCTGTTGATGGTTTGGCTAAGAAAAATCCACGAGTTTGGAGGGTCTACAGTAGAAAATCTATGGAATCAAGTCTTATACACGATATGTTTTCCAACGTATGACTTTTGCTATAAATATCTTAGGCAAAATATAAAAAGGACTTATTTTGATATATAATTTTTTGTGTCTAGATCATTGAGAAGAAGGAAGTCGCTTGGAAGGTATCTCCTCATTATTCAACAAATTTAAACTATAATAATAATTTTAAGCTGCATGATGCATTGTATTATATCAATGCAATTGAATGGGCTGCGAATGGCATGGAAATGAGTGCGATAGCTGGCAGAAACGTGGCTATTTTAGCGCACAATGATTTTCTTCAAATGCATGGTTTCAACAAAGAAGTCATTAAAGATTCAATTAAAAAGTTACGTGTATCTACAGAATTATAGAGATATTATTTTTTGTTAATATATATTATTAATGAATTTTATATTAAGTTGTTAATATATATTATTAATGAATTTTATATTAAGGACAAAGATAAGATATTTTTGTGATTAAATGTATTTAAAAGAAGCGATAGCAAAGAAATGAAGTAAAAATGTAAAGAAAATTATTAGTAATTTATGATAAGAATAAATATGAATATAAAAGATATAAAAGATATCATTAACTATCTAGATGTAATATGTTAAACTTCGCTTATATTTACATTTTTAATTTACTTGACTATATTTAGGGCCTTTTGCATTGTAATCTTTTAGTTTAAAATAAAAAATTATAAAAATTGTGCACTATAAATATTTTTGATCAAGAATTTTAATGTCTAATAATTACATTTTAAACTTATATTAGTTAAGATTAGTTAAGATATTAAATAAGAAATAATGACAATGTAATAAATGTAATAAATGTTAAAAAAAGAAATTTTTTATGAGATATTTTATATACGACAAAATATATTAAAGAACAATTTGTAAATATAATAATATTATAATAGTTTTGTTTTATAAAGATTATAAACTAACTAATTATTACTGCATCAAGTAAAACGCTCAAAAATGTGAGGTTTTATTTAAAAAAATAGCAAACTATTTCATTCCACTGTAAATCTGACATCTCATATGATACCCCATCATATATTATATAATAGTTTCAATGAACTCTAAAAGATTCAGAATTTTATATCTCTAATACATTCCAAAAAATAATTTATAATTTATAATAAACTTATATATAATCTTATGTAAATTGAATAGCGTTTGTACTGTGGCTGTGTTTCGACATTCACTGCCAGTACTGAAAATTTATAATATACGTGACCTTATAAAATCTATAATATACGTGAAATTATATATTTTCAGTACTAGCAGTGAATATCGGAATGCAGCTTGTGTTAGTCTTTTTGATGGACTTGCCATATAACTAATCAAAGTCAAAGAGAACTTATATATTATGCTTTCTTTAATTAAATTTAATGATATTAATTTTATTAAGAATCTTTGATATCAATTTAATTTTTAATATTTTAAAAAATGTTCTACATAATATCTTCTTGCAAAAAATTATAATTTAATCTAGAGAGCGTAGATTTCTCTCTGTTAATACAAAATTGGAAACAATCAAAATTCCATTGTAAATGTTTTGAAACATTTCAACCGAGCGTTTCAAAATATTCTAGCAATACAATGTTGAAATTTATGATGTACGTATCATACTGATGACATCATTTCTCTCTCTTCCTTTCTCCAACGTATACATGTTTGGCCACCTCAATTTAGGTGTAAAAAATAGTATAGAGTGCGAGCAACACGAACAGATCTATTAATTATTCAGGATGAAACAAGATGAACTTTATTATCTGCGATTTTATTTATATCTTAAGTCTAGTAAATTTCCTTACTTTTGCAATTTTCACTTTGTTTCAAGATATAATGCTTATTAAATTAAACAATGATATTATGTACATAACATAATCTTTAATGTTTATTAGATGCTTATTAGATTTGCTGTATATAATTGTAATACATCATAAAACAGATTGAAGATATTTAAAAATTTGACAAAACCAAAAATATTATAAAGACGATTTTTTTGTAGGAACAGTTATCTATTATGAGATCTTCATTTTTGTTATTTAGATGTAAAAATAGTTTCAAAAACTTATTAATAACACATATTGTTTGATCTAATTATCTTATTTTTAATAATAATAAGGATAAGTGACATTGTTCCCTGAAAGACAGGATCTTTAATAATCTTTTCTTTTTATTGAATTTATATTTTTATATAAACTCAGGACAATTTAATGTGCTTATATCGTAAACTACGTGCCGTTCTATCATTAGACTTCCAATGCAGCAATTCAAAGCTAAATGAATCGATAATCAAAATCTGAAAATCGATTACCCCTTTCGATTCCCCTTCCTTCCTCTTTACCACACATGAAATTCTTACTTCCTCTACTTTAATCCACATTCCATTCTTTCATTTCTATTTATTCCACTCATTATGTACATTGGCCACTACTTTGTTAACCGCTTTGATCATATATACCCGAGATATAGCGTTTACAACTTTGTTCATTTGGTCCTGCTTGATCGTATTCTGTAGGTAATGTAGATAGAGTAAGTTGTGTGTTGTAAATAATATATAAGCAGGTGTAAATAGTGCAGGCAGATATTGGAGATATGCGAATGTTGATGGTGCGGTCTTGAGAGGAGTGGATAGAAAAGAAGAAGCAGAAAGGAAATACGGGAAAAGATGCGACGGTTGTCACGTGAGAAGGGAGGCAACGACGAACGCCGATCACTCGCGGCCGATCGCCGGCGCTGACAGATCGTGACGCGATTCAATCAACGTGACGTTATCCTAACCTAACCTGCGAGAGGCTCGGCTTCCGCCGAGAGCGGAGAAAAAAGGTCTCCAGGTAGCGTGAAAAATGTGATTTCTTACTTTCATCTCGTAACGCCGCGAGTCTCGCGATTTTCGCGAGGAGAGGAAAAAGAGAAAGAGAGAGAGAGAGAGAGAGAGAGAGAGAGAGAGGAGGAGAGAGAGAGAG